CGCATATATTTGCTCCAATCTTCGGGGAATGGTATATCATCCATTCCAACACATATTTATTATTCGAGGAATCTCCTTCTTATTTCGTTTGGTGAGTACTTTAGTAGTTCGGCATTCATGGCAATCAGTTGCCTGGCGATTTTCTTATTTTTGAACGTTTTAAGTATGTATTGTTCAATTCGTCCAGTCAATGGGACTCCACTTCTATTATTTTTTTCCAATAGGGGGTTTTCGGGAGTCTCTGTGCTTGTTCACAGGACTTATAACACGTAAACCATTCTTTCTCGGAGATATTGTTAACTTATAATGTATCTCTTTTTGTTGAGTTAGATACTTCATTATTTGTAGAGGGCGAGTGTCCTGTGATCCATGACATGCATGTCCAATCTTCGCTTACATATCTATCCAACTTCACTCAATTATCTTTCTAATTTATCTCTTCGCAATAGCGCTTTTTATTTTATATTTCTATTTTGTCTTCCTCAGAATGTGATTGGAGATACTGTAGTGTAAGCCTTTTCTTTGATCGACAATTTCTTTATTCCATTCCATTTTTTGGACACCCGTTCTTATCTTGCATTTGTTTCTTTTGCCTAGGACTTCTTGCTCGCTTGTAATATTATCTCCTTAAAATCTTGCCATTCTACGTTTACATCTGTACCGATTGGCTCTTTGTATCATAGAAGGATAGCAATTGTGAGCAGTATAATCTTCTTATACTCTCTTGTTGCAGCAGGTATACGTTAAAGTTAGTTTGAATTAACTAATTTAAAAAAATAATAAACTCCATGAAAACCTAAATAGTACTGGATAACCTAAGTACTACTGGATTTTTTTCCCCCTCGATTTTTTCCAACCCTGATAGGAAGACTGAATTGTTTTTTGTTTATTTTCCATGTACTGGCAAAACAATTGTAATGTAACATAGCAATGAAGAAAGAATTCAAAACAAAATTTACTTAATTTTATGCCATTCCATTTTAAGAATATAACAATGTTTATATTCAACTTCATTTTGAGCAAGATAAATTTAAAATAAATAACGAAACTATTCAAACACAAGAAAATAAGGCAATATTTACAAAATGCCATGACCTCAATCCTCCATGGGAGAAACTTCCTTTTCCAACTCCTAGGGAGAATTCACACAATTTAAAGTGTGAATAAATAATACCTACTACATTAAAATACATTTTTATACACTTCGAAAATTGTTAAAAAATGAAAAGTTGATTACTGAATAATTAGCGATAGTCTATAGGCAATATACACCCTCTCGGGTGAACCTTCCTTCTTTTATTAATATACATCCAATAAAGTGATTTAACAGCATCTAAGTCACTGTGCCTCTATAATAAGTTAAAATTCTTAGTGTTAAGCAATAACGCAAAAGTAAAACTAAACGGAATTCAGCCACAAGCTTAATCCTTCATTTCTATTGGTTTAATAATGAGTATCAATTTACAATTGATAGACAGGCATTCAATTCTAAAAATTGCAAGTCAATGTAGTGCAGTAATTAAATAAAGAAGATATTTCTCTTAATTCCGCTTGAAAAGAGCAAGTCCCAGAACTCTTTAACTTGAACCTCAATAAATAACTTAAAATCACAAATACAGAAAAAAGATATTAAGACAATTAATATAATAAAACAATTAATATTAAAGAACTTACAATCATGCACTCTTAAAAATTTATGGGAGAATAAGCAGAAAACTTACTTTGAGATGTTGAAAGCATAGGATTTGTAATCTTCATTACACAAATCTTCAAATGATTCACAATCAGTAAGTCCAGGGACACTTTCACTAGTCTCTGACCCTCCACTCATATGCCTTGACAACGTCACAACACGATCACCCACAGTCTTCACTCCTTCATAAACTAGGCTAGCCATATTTGAAACATTCTGCTTTATGATTCGTGAAGGCCGCACCAAAGAAGCTTCAGCACATTCCACCAACAGTTCCTCACCAGCCCCTCCATAACTTGATACCCATGATAACTGTCGTGTGAGAAACTGCCTTGCAGCATCCGTATTGATAAAGAATTCATTTTTTTTGTTTGTCTTAGGAGAGCTTGAGGAAGATTCATTTTCTGCATTGGTTACTTTCAAACCTGTATTTTCAGAAACATCTTCACTTTTGGTGTCTTTACTTTCATTTTGTTGAGCATCTTCTGTAGAATTTATACGATCATCTTCCACATTTTCATTACTTGGAAACACTTCTTTAGGTGCCAATTCTTCAGTAGCAGACATTGATGATGATTCATCAGAACTTTTTCGTCCCTCAGCAGTGTTATCCTTGCTAGCAGTAGAAGTAGAAGAATTGTGAGTGTTTGTGGGAGTAACATGTAAACCAAGTGGACAAGTATCTGAATTCGAAGGTTGCGATATTGGAGAAGACACACATTCACTGACACAAGTTGGACAAGTTGACACAAACACATCACAATTCTCATCTTCATCATCTGTGTCATCTTTCTCATTTGCACTCTGACTTGGTTTCTGGACAAGAACAAGACTGAAGTCTAATCCACAACTTACTTCTTTAACAATGCGGTTTTCAAAAAATAATACAGGTTTTGGTTCTTCTCCTTGAATGTTTAATTGAATGTGATCTCCTGATGCCCATAACTGGCCATTTTCTGTCACATAAAGCACACCTTTGTCAGTAGCAGCAATTTTTTGAACTTTTTGTGTATGAGCCAAGGTTTTGTAACCATGTACACAACATTTGGAATCTTCTTTCAAAACAATTTCTTCAAATGAATCTAAATTTGTTGGGTTGGCTTTATATACTTTGCCCTCTTCACTAATAAAATATAGGTTGAAACTATTTGTAGCAATGTCAATTGCATTTATAGGAGTTTTTGTAACCTCCAAAATTGGAGATTCATTAACCCCCTGCTCCACAATGCCATTAAATACCCAGTTACATTTTGTTAACAAGAAAACATATTTATTCACACAACATACTTTCACTACTTCCTCATTGAACACTGATGACTGATATGTTACAGCAATTTTTTCAAGTCCTTGCCACAAAAGAAGTTCACTCATTTTGTACATTTAAAAAAATCAGAGTTGCCTGAGAAAATATAAACATACAAATGTCAGCATTATTACACTTAAATAACGTGCCAGTAAATCCTTGGTGAATAATACATTCCCTCACCTGCCAATGTTTTCACTTCAACACAACTCCATCACAAACGTTCTTTGGAGAAATTCTGAATACCGACAAAAATATGTATTGTAAGTAATTATTTGAAACATAATTTGAGAGATAAAATATCCCTCTTGAAATCCAAATTTGTTTTAAGTGTATTGCATTTTCTCAGGCATTCTTTTTATCAGTTCCAAACTCACACACTTCGCACATCCGTACCCGCCCACTCGCGGCAGCTGTGATCTTGAGTCCACTTGGTATACTTATTTAATTATTGCGTTGGCGCTAATACTTGAAGAGGATGAAAGTGTTCAATTCATTGTCCTTCACGTTTTGTGGGTGACTCAGATACTGACCCTGCACTGACCATCGTAATTCCATTAAAAGGAACGGATTTGTTTAATTATCACTTGCATAACTCAAGTGATGTGACACTAGATGGGGCACATCAGGGCACATCCGGTCCTTATTCAAATTCCATAAGGTAGCCATTCTGAGTTCAGAGAGACGCCATATACATCTGTATAACACCAACTCGCTCAAGCGGACAATCGGTGAACTACTTATGCATTTTGAAATTTTTTCGAATAAACGATCCGGTTGGTTATCGTTGGATTCCTTCCTCATCGACCTGTCCTTGTATATCTGTATCTGAAGCGTGCATTATGGCTTCGTGAAGATGTTGGGTACCTAACTGTAAAAATGCGAAAGCGAAATTAGCAATTAAAACACGTTTATTTGGGTTCCCAAGAAACGTAAAAAAAGGAGTAACATTTACTTTATCTCTTCGGTTTAATATAACATGTAAATATTGGTTCTAATCCACGGCAGGGGTCAGTAGTAGGTAAAGATGGTAAAGAAATCTTCGACTTTCATTGTAAAATTATAATATTAATAATGCCACTAAAAGTCTAGGGTTGATTTTTCGATTCTTTTGGCTTTTATCAAAAACTTAATTGCCATGAATGGTTCACTACAGCAAGTGTGCCTGGTACATTTTCTGCCAATATTCACGGTAAGTTTTTGCCTTGAAAGTGCATTGAAATAATTCAATTCCAAATTGAGGATTTTTTTTAATGTTCATGTTCATTTGCAAATCTCTTGTTTGGACAAACTGAGGTGACACCCACTATAGCAATGGATGTAATTGGTAAGACTTTATTTTAACAGAATATTAGTAGAATGTAGAGTTTTAGTAGAATATATTTTTATACTTTTAGTAGAATATATAGTTTGATGGGAGTCTATGTTACCAGCAGCTTTTAATTTTCAGATTATTGGCCTAGTGGCGCTACGCTATGCGCAGAACAAAATGGCACTTTCACCCCTTGTATCAGTTCAACTCATTTTGATTTTACCTGGGCAAATGTTCTGGCGGTAGTTGTTTCATTTGTTTCTTTCAATTCTGTTCATATTGTCATTCATAATGCTTGTAATAATGTATTCCGTAGTATTTACATTAATTTGACACATCTACAAGCAAATCACTATAGTTCAATTGTGCAGGTGTACTGATTATTACCTTCTGTAATATAAAATTGTTATTACTAATGAAATTACAAAATTGTATAATATTAATATGCTCAATAAATACTAGATTTTACTACCCTAATTTGACTTTTTTCTGCCGTAAAATCCTTATAATTATTATTAGGAATTTTTTAAAAATTAAGGCTTGGGGGAAGTATGGGAGTGAAGTTTTAAAGTTCCCGCGTTGCTGATTTCTTTCAAATTTACCGGTTACTTCTTCGCTATTGGCTCTCCGTTTACCCAATAGAAATTACACAGAACAATGTGGCGGCACCGGAAGTTGGGCAAATAGGCTTTTCCTTTTAACATTGAGTGCCGTCTCTGAACTCAAATGACAGAGGTGGGGAAGTGCAGGACGTTGCGAGCTCGGCGCAGCTGATTGGGGAGGAAAGAATGTTGGTAGTTCTGAGCAAGACAGCTTAGCCAAAATGGCAAAGTGAAAAAATTCACAAAGCCGAATGATTACTGTGAGGTAGCATGAGTTAAATTTGACGGCATGAGAAGTTTATAATATGCAAGAAGTTTTCCTAATACAAAAGTTTTCACATGGGCTAATGATGAGTCAGCGATTGGGAATTGAATTATGTGATAAATTCTTTAATTCGTTAAGTTAGTTGCACTAAGCAGTAGTTTCAGCATTGTGTCGGGCACTGTAGAGTGGAGTGCACGTGTTTCGGGTTTCTTTTAGGTTAGATGCAAATAAACAATTTAGAACTAGGCGGAAAATTATCAGAAGCACAGTATATGCAAGTTTTGTGTGAGCGTATAACCTCGTTCTCTGCATTTTGATATTGCATATTCTTATCGTGGCAACATGCAAGTTTCCGATCCAAACAATGTTAAAATTTATAATCTTAGTGCGGGAAAATCTCTTCCTGACGTAAGTACAAACAACGCTTCATGTTCACTAGGTATACAGGAAAAATGTCTTACTGTATTAAGAAACATAACAGAAAAAAATGTCTAATATAAATGTCTACAGTTATATTAAGTCGAATGACTAAACGTCCTCAGCTAAAATGCCTACTAACTGCAAAATCTGTCAGCTAAATGTCTACTAGTGAAAATTCTAACAGAAATGTCTAACGAGTATTCTGTTAAAATATTCTGTCAATATGGAGCAAGTTTAAATGATAGTATCGTGCTATGAAGGCTATAGACATCGAAATGAAATACTCGCCTACTTGAAAGGATTAAGATATTGCTTGAACTTGTAAACAGATGAATCTGATGAGTGATTTTAATGTAACTGCACTAGTCGTGTACTGTATATATTTTATAAATATTTTTGTGAGCTACACAGGCATTTATGATTACACTTACTAACAAGTCTAACAAACTTTCATACATTGATCTTTTTTACATCCAGACATATTTGCATTATTCATTGTTGTATGTAGACACCTTTGCCTGTAAACATTTGGGCAATAGAAATTTCTTCATGTAGACGTACTTGCTTTAGACATTTTTCATGTAGACTAGCGTGATATGTAGACCATTTGGAGTAGATCAAATGTCGTTAGACCTCAAATATTAGACATTATTTACTGTGATCTTATTTCTGTAGACTTACTGTCCGGTAACCCATACAATGATCACATTAGCTGATAATCTTTAGAATTGTTATTGAATTTTGGATATTTTTGTTTCAGTGGCTTTCAGAAAAGAAACGGAGAGCACTTCAGAAAAAAAGTGTTGGTGAGTTCATTTCAGTGGCATTCCTTGCTTATTGCCATAAGTGTATAATTTCCCATTGAATCTTTCATATATGAAACATGAAATTCTTTCTCTGGGTGTTGTCTTATTGTATTTCCATCTGCATGCATCCTGGGAAAATACTGCTTCATCATGTGCACTTTTTTGTTGAGCTCTCTTTTTGCTTGTGGTACTAATATTAGAGCCAGGGGTGTGAGTTAATAGTGTGTTAGCAATACTATAAAATTAAATCTGTAGTGTGTTTACTGATTCAAATAAATTTTCTTTTGCTCAGAAGTTTGTTTTTAAACATTGTTAACCTCCCTTGCTGGTTACTTTTATTTATCATTCAACTATTTATAGCAAAAGTGTGGGTTAGGGGTTCTGAAGCTATGAAAACCGGTTGATATTGTATTTCCCTCTCTCATGTCACAGTTTTTACTGTGTTTTTATGAAAATCAATTAAATCTAATCTAATAATGAAATACAAAAAGAGTAATACAGAAATTACTCATTTCATGTACACAAAACTTGTAAGTTGTTCATCAAAATGTTCAAATTTAGTATGGATATGTTTGTTCTGCTTTCAGATATTAGGAGACGAATTGAACTTATCCAAGACTTTGAAATGCCAGGAGTTAGCACAACAGTTAAAGTGTCTCCTGATGGACAATATGTTTTAGCTACTGGCATTTACAAACCTCGTGTTAGGTGTTATGATGTAAATCAATTGTCTATGAAATTTGAAAGATGTTTTGACTCAGAAGTTGTGACTTTTGATGTACTTTCTGAAGATTTCAGCAAAGTTAGTATACTATTGTCTAATGTAGATTCTTTTGGTTTTCATGGATTGCTAATTAAACTTTGTTTTTTATTTCCAGCTTGTTTTCTTACATTGTGATCGGTATATTGAATTTCATGCTGCATATGGCCGGTATTTCCGATTACGAATCCCTAGATTTGGCCGTGACATGAAATATCATTATTCGTCTTGTGATTTGTTTGTTGTAGGAGCAGGGTAAGTGTTTTGTAGAGTCAAATATTCATTTGTAAACACTATGGGTTGATGAAATTGAAATTTGAAAATCATTCTTTATCTTTTTTTACTAAGTTTAGTATAGTTACTTTAACCACATTTAAACTAATTGCATTTTAATTGTTTTAATTACCAATTTATTCATTGATAAATTACCAATTTTCATGGTCCTGGAGGAGCTGAGGAAATTATTAAGATATTGAAAGTAGAGAATATTTCATTAATGAGTTGTTTGTTAGTTATATTCTATGTTAGGGTGCCCTAAAGTTGAAAGGAGGCTGAGAGAGAAGTAGGACAGTGTATGGACATTTTTTTGAGGTTTCCATTTGCTAATTGCATAAGGAGTGCTTTATTTATTATTTTAGTAAAGGTCCATTTATTTTGACAGTAATGAAAGTTTGGGAAACAATTATGTACATATATTCTGTATGGCATGCAGGTATGGTATATTCTGTATGGCACGAACTGATATAACTGAAAATTCTCATGACCTGACCTTTGTTAAAGAAATATTGAGCAAGCAGTATATACAAGCTGAGGATACTGTTGAATGTACTATCAAACTGGGAAAACTGAATCAATTTGATGACAATTATTTTCCGGGAATGCTTTCAAACATAGTGGTAGTTTAAAGTACACTTCATCACTATTTGTTGTTATTGAAGAGTGTTGTGTTTGAGTAATTATTTTTGAAAAAATGTTACTTCAGTGATAAATAATTGTTGTTTATTTTCTTTTTATTGTAGGCCTGAAGTGTATCGGTTGAATTTGGAACGTGGCCAGTTTCTGAATTCCTTGGTTACAGAAGCCTCTGAAATAAATCGTTGTGCAATAAATCCAGAGCATCAGCTTCTTGTATGTGGTTCTAGAGAGGGAAGAGTAGAAGCATGGGATACCCGAGTGCGGAAATCAGTTGGCAGCCTTGATTGTGCTATTAGCTGTGCTACAGACTCACAGTAATTTTTTTGAATTTTTTCTTCTGAACTCCTTATAGAGTCAATACATATTAGTTTGTTATCCTGTATAATTACACTAGACATCCCCTGATTTTTAAAAGTTGATTCTGGGCGGCCATCAAGAGTTCTCTCTATCCTAGCCAATCCATGGGAGTCCTGCACTTGAAAATATATAATAGATCATTGGCAAACAATAAATTTTTGACTTTTTTTTTCTTCAAGAATTACCATTCTCTATCACTGTCGTTTATTTATTGGTCATTATTGTGCTTTTTCCTTGTAACAGAGATTTTGATACCATCTTAAAATGCAAATGAATCTATAAAATAGAAAGTGAAGAAAAAAAATGTTTGCTTTGCAACAGCTGTATCACTCCTTTTTAGTTTCTTGGCCACTAATCATGATTTTTTGTCAAAAATTTTGGGGCTCAAATATTGAAAAAGTGGATAAATCTTGCTCCTATTAGTGGTAACTTACTTCCTTTAATGCATTTTGCATTTACAATTCATGTTTTATGGGTCCCAGATATTGAAAAATTGGTTTATGACAAAATGTTTTTTGTCCATCCATCTGTTGTTAACATCAGCACCAATAACGTTCAGACGATTTTCCCCCAAATTACTTTCCCTTATTGATATGGCCATATTTGAAGCTCTGAGAATTTGAAAGGGATATTTTAGCTTTTGAGGGTACTTTAAACTTTGACATTTTCAAAATCTTCTCAAAAATAGCACCACATTTTTTGAACAGATAGGACAAAAGGTACTTAAAAAATTATGCTGGTCTAATTTTCCTTGGCCACCGAATTTTCGAGAATTGTAAAAGGTCCAAAAATTTCCTGCTGACAACTTACTTTATTTTACAGATTTGAAGGATTTCCATCTGTCACAGCTCTCCAGTTCCAAGGTGCACTGACCATGGCAGTAGGAACTGCTACTGGACATATTTTATTGTATGATCTTCGTGCAAATAAGCCATTCTTAATTAAAGATCATATGTATGGCTTACCTATATTGGATTTGGATTTCTATTCTGCTCAAAACTTTGTTCTTTCAATGGACAGATCCATTTTAAAAATATGGGACAAGAATACAGTGAGTAATTTAAGGATATCTTCTCAAGAACTAAGCAGACTTTGCACTTTGCGCTCGTGGGCAACGGACTCACAATTGTACAGGATATGACCTTATCATGGTGCATGTGTCATGTAGACATATCTTGATCTCACAGATTTTTAAATTGGCTCTTATTACCTCTATGCTCTTTTATTAAAATATTCTTGTTTATATGTTAGAAATTTCTCTCAATATATATTCCTGAAACTCTGTTAGTACTTGTGGTATGTTTTGTATACTCTGTCCTTCAACAGCTCTCTTAAGAAGAAAAATTCTGGTTCTCTTTTCAGAGAAATCTGTTTTGGGCAATTAAATATTGAAAAAAGAGTTGGTACTACAGTTTTAAAAAATTCTTAACCAAGTACATCAGTTCATCTTGAAAGTGATTAGTGCTTAATGTTCAATTTTTATATAAATAATCACTTGTTTTAGGCAGATGTTTCCTTCTTGTGTTGATTACCCTTTTCCTACATCTGCTCGTATACAAAATTTAGTGAAACTCTGAAATAAATTAACTAGTGCAATAATTCTTTTGTTCTCTTGAACAACTTTTTGTCTTATCATTCAAGGTCTTTGGAAAAGTAAAAGAAACTCTGGGTTCATTCCTTTATTAGGGAGTTTTTGCGCCCTCGAATATTAAAGCAATCGAAAGCACTATTGCTCTGTGCATGCATAATTCAAATTTGACATCTTTTTTGTGTATCTGTGCATGCGCAGTAGATGAGATTGCAGTCGATTGTTATCTGGTAAAGCGTGCAAAATCCTCTCTTATTGCTGCATTTAATTGCATAACAATGCGTCCTGTTCAATACATGCATCGTTATTTCTGTGTCAGCTGGAAAAGTATAAGAATTCTTTTGGTGCAAATCAAATGTGTTCCATTACATTACAAATGAAGGGCTAAAACCTTGGGTATATATAATTTTACTAGTTATTTAATGACTTGCCATTGAAATCCTAGGAATAATAAAATCCTGAAGTTAAGAAACAAAACAAATTCTTTTTTTAGCTTTTATCCAGCTCTTAATAAACAAATCCCTGTACTTCAGTTGGCAATCTCAATTCTACTTTTGTCTTCTTCCAAGTAACTAGCTGTATGCACTTGCATCTCCAACCAAACAGGTGGAGCAGTGCTACTCTATGATACATATACTGTGGCTTTAGTTCTGTAATTGTTAAAAGCAAACATCAGTAATATAAAAAAATATGCTTTGACTCCCAATTTTTCACACTGGATTATTAAAGAAATATTTTCATCTTTCAGGGCAAGCCATTCACCTCAATTGAAGCAACAGCAGATTTTAATAATTTGTGTTATGTGCGTGATTCAGGACTGATGTTTATAGCAAATGAGAACACTAAGATTTTGACATATTACATACCTGTGAGTATACATAAGTTTTACTAAAGTGATTGAAAATTTGAAGTATTATGCAAATTGCAAATCAGAAGGTTTTTATCAAAGGATGGTGAACATTTGAGACAAATGATTATAATTAATAAAAACAAGAAACTTTAAGTTAATACAGTAAACCCTCATTAACATGAATCCCAAGGGCCCGAAAAACAAATTTGTGCTAACAGGGGAGTCAAATTTTATATTTCAGTTCCAAGGTACACAAATAATTCTACAGGAAAGTGTGTTAACCATATATAGCGACATGTACTGCTGCATAATACTTTTTATGTTGTCATAGAAACTCTAGTATAAGATATTCTCCTACATTGACAGTGTTCCTGGACACAGTACATCAATCCTATATGGATTTGTGACAGTATCACAGAAAATGCACAAAAGAAGGAAATTACTGTGACGTGAGAAAAATGTACTTGTAGATCATTATCTGGTGAAAAGTTCCTGATAGGATAGCATTCCTTGATAGAAAATTCATTTTTGACGCACAGGTTGGTGCGAGATATTAATTAGGCAGCAGGTTGTTATTGCCGCACAAGTAGACTTTGAGTTGTGACTCTCAGATGTCATGAGATGAGCCTCCTTCAGTTTTGAACATAATGGTTTAAGTTGGGACAAGTGTGTAGTAGCCTAGTAGACAGAATATTTATGGGTGGTATACATAGATGTTTGTAAATAGTTTGTGAATTAACTTGGTATCTTCTTATCTATTTCTTGTCGCAACCCTGTGACAGTTCACTGGGAAACAAAAATAAAAATAAAGGGAGAACCTCAAAATTCATCATAAGTGAAAAAATATAATGATGCAAGAGACTAAAATGTAATTTCAAATTTGCGTTAACTGATAAAACTACCTGAAATGTTATGTTTGTCACTGCTGGGGCTGAAATTTTGTTCTTGTTAAATGACTGATTGCCTTAAGTGAATGTGTGATAATGAGGGTTTACTGTAATATTAATTAAAGCTGATTTACAAATTGGATAATATGCTTTACTAGTTACTATGTATCGTTTCCATCTGTTCATTAGAGTATGGGTCCTGCACCAAAGTGGTGTAGTTTCTTAGACGCCCTCACTGAAGAGTTAGAAGAGAGCAAGAGTGAGACTGTGTATGATGACTACAAGTTTGTTACCAAAAAGGAGCTTGAAGAATTGGGATTGGACCATTTAATAGGTGTGTGTTTAAGGGCTGTGAAATCTTTAGTTACATCATATTTTTTTAAGGCACAGTCTGTAGACCCCCATATATTTCATTGTAGCTTGCAAATGTTCTTCCATATTGATGTCAGTGCACAGGAAAAGTGGCCCGTCTCAAAAATATTTTTTTTAGTTAAATCAAGAAATGTTTATAGAAAATAACATTTTCATTTTTAAACTTTTCTTTAAGGTAATTTACTAGGTAGCCACTATATTGGGTAAAACCATAAGTTTGTGTTAAATTTTGACATAAACTGTTTCATTTGGATTTGACTATTCTCCTGCAAAAAGAGAGATTGTGAGGTTTGTCTTTCCCTTGTACACCCAGGATATTAAAATCATCTTTTCTTATTTTCACTTTTAAACATTTTTTTAAGGTAATTTGCTAGACAGCCACTGTAGTGGGTAAAATAATAAGTATGTCTTAATCTATGAGATAAACAGCTCTGTTCAGGTACAACTGTTCTCCTGCAAAATGACAGATTATGATATATCATTTCTCTTGTTCTCCCAGGATATTATCAACTTTGACTTTGGCGTTTTGTATAGCACAAATTTTAAAGAAAATTGGAGTAGATACTTGAAAAAATTAATGGATAATAAGGCATGCAAATCCAGCTACTAAAGGATATAGCTGAATAAGGCAGTAAAAAGTGCCCCCAAACCTAATCGATAATGGTGATGCTCATATGAAAGAGAATAAAAAATGCTAGAAATTCCCAAAAAATCAGCCTCTTAGGGCAATCTGATGCAGAGATACAACAAGAAATGTGTTTTTCATGTTTTATTAGTTTCTCAGCTTCTATTGCATGTATCAGGCTGAAAAGAATTGCAGAGACAGAGAATAATAGTTGACAGGATTTTTGTCAACCAATTTTGTTGCCAAATTCACATACGGAAAAAAAGGCTTTCAGCTGATTGTTTGGAATTTGTCTTTCTAGTCATATATATCACTTTCTGGTATGTGTATATAATATGGACGTTTATACATAGAAAAGAGAAATTTATGCTGCAAAAAATTCATTTGAGATTTTAATGGAAATCCACGTTTTGGAATCACCTGAAAGGGTTGTTTTTCTTACTTTCTCCATTATGTATGTATTTACAATATATAATGTAGAGAAAGTTATGTAATTCTCATGGAAATCAATGTTGAGATTTTAATGGAAATTTGTTTTTACTGAGTCCTTTACTTTTTAAAATAATAATTTTTAATCCAAAGCTTCTATCTGTTTGTCTGTGAACAACTTTGGCACCTCAACTGTCCATATGAGGTTTTCCCACAAGGAATACTCTTCGGTTCATCTGGCTCAACTCAAAGCCCTGCAGTTTTGAATATATATTTTGGGGGTACTGTGCACGAAACCAAGGGACATTTTCATAATTGTTTCAAAAATCATTAGAAAATTTTACTTTAAATGTCTGGTAAGAATAGAGTGAATTACACATATAAAATAATAGAGTGAAATACTTATAAAAGACTCACAGGTCCATTTTTCTGTTATTTCTGAATTTCAAAAATTACAAAAGTTTGAATTGTATGTTGACATTGTCTTAGAACTTCCATAATAAAGAGAGCAATTTTTTCTTCAAATTAAAATTGTTTTCTATAATTTGTTCTTTAATTAATGTCATGTTCATTGTTTTGAAAGTACAAGTTAATTGTAGTTTAATTGTTGAGTTGTTTTTTGTGCAATTGAGTGGAATATGTGCAATATTAACCCATTTTGGGTGAAAGACGGGCACTGCCTGACCTCTACCTACCTGTGTCGTTCTGACCGAAGATGAGCATTGCCTGTCCTGAACTTTTTTGTTGTATTTCCACGTTTTCCTAATAAATGAATATCATGTCTTTATTAGAGAATTTGATCTGAAGCTTGTAGAAGTTCTTTGCTTGAAGTTTCTTGCTGATTGTTTTCCCTTGATATATAATTGTGGAATCAGATGCGTTTGCTGAGTGGGTGACTGAAGGTTTGGAATGACGAGTGATGAGGAATTGTGAAATGGAAATGTAATGATTGTGAAAATGAGTGTATTGTGATGAGGAGGAGTAAGTTGTAAATAATTGAAAGTCTGTCAAAATGTTATCTCACTGAAAATAAATATTAACAGTTTCATTTTTAATGAGATGTGTTTTCATACAAATAATATAATTTACTAAACATGAGTAGTGATGTACATGGTGCAAGAGAAAGTGTGAGAAACGATTTTTATTAGCCAAGGTATTAGTTAGTGTTTACTAGTAATTTATATTATTTATTATTATTTGATGCAGTGGTGTGCCATCAAAATTAACTTGGTCCCAGGGACCACACAAATTAACAGGTTAGAAACACAATATTCTCAAAAGTGGCTCCAAATTTTTCTTTAAACTTTTTATCCAAGTAGTGCTAAATGCACTGTATAACATGATAAAAACATAATTTTGATATGTTTATTTTGTTTTCCAAAAATTACAGTATTACAAATTTTTTGAAATTTCTCTACATTGTTAATATTTACAACAAATGTGTTTTTAAAAATTTTATTGCATTTGTGATAGAAGAGCTTAAAATGTTTTCTGATGATGTTTCTCTAAAACTCAAAGATTTTTGTAAAAATGAGCTCAAATTTGTGCATTAATTGAAACGCACAAAACTCATTTTCTTGAAAACTGCTCCAATTGAGTAATATATTGCATTAAGAAAGAAATCTCTTGCTTAAGTATTCAAAGTGTCAGACTTTTGCAATTTTTGAAATTTCATATGTTTTATTATAAATCAAAGTTCTGCATTATTGCTAAGAGAACTTCTCTCTTTTCAAGCAAACATTTTAAAGAAAAAATTTGAAGCTATTTTTAAGATAAATCTTGTTGACAATTCTTTTCAAATAGTTTCTTTTTCACTCAAAGCTATGTGAAAATTACTCATGTTTTCATACAATTGTTCCTCACATTATTTTAAGGTCTAAATTTCAAGGCACAGATGACCAGTAAGTGAGAACATGTACATTATCACTGAGGAGCCCAAGGAATTTTTGTGTTGATTTCAGTATTTAGGTTGTTTATTTTTGTCACCCTGCAGGTCGTTTTAATTAGTTTCGACTCTCCATTTCGGAATTTTTGGCAAAACTACAGGGGAAAAAATAGGGATGCTGGTGTCATCTGGTGTAGCTTTGGTTCACCTACATTTATTCGTCATTCAGCTATTTATAGTTAAATTGCTGTGAAGAAATTCTGAAGCCCAAGAAAACGTGCACAGATGATACGTCTTCTGAATATGTCACACAATTTTTACTGCTCTCTGACTAAATAAATAAAATCATAAAATCAAAAGTAACATTGGTAGCAGTTCCTGTATGCAGGTCAGAAAAATGGAGCACATCAATGCAAAAATATTCAGTATTTTTTTTTAATTTACTTTTATTTATTTAAGGTTTTTTAACAACAAAGGCCATCAGCAACCACAATTAAGTATACATCAATGAGTTACATTACAGATTATATTACAGGACAATTTATAACATTATATCACATATTACTCCTCAAGATTGTATTACATTAACATCAAATTTTATATTATATTATCTTCAGTTAACCATTTCTAGCAACTTCAGTACTTTAGCACAACCAACTGCAGAGCTGAACATTTATTAAAGTTTCTATGTTCGTTTGTTGTGTATTGAGTATTTGGCTTGCTCCTAATATTAGATTTCAGTAATGTGTTTTTTTCCCCTTCAGTCCCTTGAGAAATGTACCATATAAGTGAAAATTTACTGCACTTTTGTAGTACCACTAGTTTATTTTTATAGCTCAACATTCTTGTTTGAAATTTTTGCTATATAAATTTTAATATTTTTGTTGAGAGTTTATTAGCACCACTAGTTGTATTATATGTTACTTGGTTCAGAAATGAGGGCTCATTGTTTCTGAAAGATTTTTTATTTCTGTATTATTGTAGATTGGTTATGGATAAATGTTATGAAACCATTATTTTTCAGGCACTAATCTTCTTCGAGCATATATGCACGGTTATTTCCTTGATTTCCGATTGTATAAGAAAGCAAAATCAGTTGCCGATCCATTTGCCTTTGAAGAATACAAGAAGAAGAAAATAAAGTCAATAATAGAAGAAGAAAGAGGAAATAGAGTGAAGTTACATGTATGTTTTGAATCTCTTCTATTTTATTTTGTTCTTGCATCATTAATGTAATTTTGGGTTTTGTAATTCTGTAATATGTAATAATCATTTGACTATTTTTTAATTATATGCATTTCTTATATTTGTTTAGAAACTTCCAAGCGTCAATAAAGAATTAGCTCTAAAACTAATGAACACTGAACTGGGCCCAAAGAAGAAGAAGAAATCTGTATCAAATTTGTTGAGTGATGACCGTTTCAAGGCTTTGTTCGAAAACCCTGATTTTGAAGTGGACAAAAATGCTGAGGAATACAGGTATGATTTGTCAATTTAAGGTCATTTGTTAGAACATCACACACTTTGCACATCATTATCAGACTTCATTTACATCTCATTTACTTCTACTTTTAATCTCTGAGTTTTCAGCTGATGCTCTCCGCCCTCATTTAAATTATTTCACTACCTTCTGGCACCCCAGTGAACCGTGACAGTAGCCTCCACTCCTTAACCCTGGTGTGACACAAGCCCATTGTTTCTTGCCACAAGTAGTATGCCTGTGATGGCACTTGAAACTTGTTACAGGTAGGAAGGTATGATGGCAGCCAAGTGGTTCTCATGTAGCACCCTATTGGTCCATATGGAGCTTACTCTCCCCTGCCACGAAGGCAGTCACATTTGCTCTTCATTCATACACTTCATTTGCATGTCTCTCACACGTTCTTTATATATTTTCTGCATGTTCTCCATGTTTCCTCCACATTTTCTCCCATGTGTTAAACTGTAAGTTCAGAAATGTACGCATTTTTACTTTTTTGCTTTACTTTATAAGAAGAGAAAGAATTGTAATGGTGATTTTTCAAGAAAAAACTAATTTTGCCAGTCAATAGTAATGAAAAAGTGGATAAATCTTGTACCTACATGTAAATTACTTCCTCTAAAATGTTATATAGTCAGTATATATAATATGTATTTATTTATTTTCTGAATCAACGTAGTCTGAAGGTATATTTTAATGTGAGTGTGTATACATATGTTTGTATTTTTTACTTGTTTATTTAGTTAGTGGGCCTCAAACTATTTTTAAGAGAACAGGTGACCTACACTTCTGAAAATGTCGGAATATAATAAGTATATGAAAGCATGATGATGTGAATGAATGAAGAAATGGTTGTGTGAGAGGCAGAAGAAATAAGAGAAACTGAGAAAGCCTGCCAATAGCTCACTGTGCCTGCCACAATTTCCACATGAATTAGCCAGGGATCAAACCCAGATCCCAATGATGAAAGGTGTATCCTATACTCCTTACGCCATGAGCAACATCTAACAATCCATGCTACAGACGGGTACCCTTCAAAAATGTAATGAATTCCAAAGAGGTCTCATTTTTTAGATTATGACATAAAGAATATAACTCATGTCCCATTAGGGACTGTTTGATCTGTTCAATGCACCCCTTGGAGATAATTTACTATCCACCAGTGGCACACACTACCCACCCGTATTGTAAAAAGGGTACAAAATCATTATCTTTCTACAGCTTATTATATGTAAAGGGGATTTTGATATTAATGTTGATGTAAACTTTTAATGTATTTCTTCTAGAGATGTTTGGATGTATGTGAAAAATTAACAGAATGAGAATTTTGGATATGTTTTTAGGTTACTAAATCCTGTACTGAGTAGAATGGAACGGAGCCGTGAAAAGGTGTTGAAGAAGCAAAGAGTTGAGAAAAAGGTGGAAGAACAGGAGGTAATACATTCACACTTGTGTTTTTATTTTATTGTTTATTTATTTATTTATCGTCACATGTTCCATATTTACCCGAATATAAGTCAACTCTGCATGTAAGACAATCTCTAAATTTGAACATATCTTCTGAGAATTATTAACTAATTCTTACTATTTAATCCAAATAAAATTGCAATCTGTATAGAAAATTATCTTGCAGCTGAATGTTAAAACTTATTGCCTGTGCTATCACAATTTTCTTGTTCCTTATTCCGTGTTCCTTGTGCCACCAAGACCCTTCTTAATCAGAAGATTTTCTTTCTTTTTTTGCATTTTTGTTTATGACCTTGGATTCTTAAACAGTTCTTTCATATTCCTAAAGGACTATGAACTTGAAATTTGCATTGATTTTGTAAGTGTAAATTGTGAACTGCGAACTTGTACATCTCCGTTATGTGGAAAAACACCAGAGTGTGTGGCAAGTTTCTAAATTTGGGAATTGCTCAGAAAACAATTTTTTATCATTCTGTCTCTATTTTTGCTTATAGATTGCTTACTTCTATCAATGTGAATTTTTGCATTTCCATTGCTTGCAAAGTGCACATTTGCACTTGCCGGGCATCAAACCAAGAGCCCATGTGGTCTCATTGATGGGGCCCATGTAACAAAATCTCCAAAACAATTTTTGTTTTCCATTTTGCATTTCACTTACTGTAATGCCATTCGTTTGAGATTCTCTTTTTACTATCTCGTTCAAAAGTAATGATCGGGATTCCCAGGCAAATCTACAGTGAATACTAAGAATACAATTAGATATTATGAATATGTGTGATTTCCTTTGCAACTTAGTTATATCATTATTCTAGTTTTTTGACAAGGAAAGACAGTGAAAGTACATAAACCATGTCTTAATCTGCGAATTTAAGGCAAAACAGTATTTTTCAAATGAATATTTAGGAAAAAACTTTGTCTTACATTCAGATAAATCCGGTAGTTAAAGGAAATCCATTTTCATAGAAAATGTACATTTGCAAATAGATATTTTATCTTTTATTGAGAAGCTGAGGATATTTTCATTTTGTTTACATTTGCTGATATTTCATAATTAATATTCATATTATTTATTAGGGGAATTTAAGAACTGCTCACTTTTACCTGGTGTGAAAAAATAATTGTTAATAGTGGATTTGAAATGTCACATCTGACAAATTATTTTCATTTCTCTTGTCATCTCAAATGAAGGAAGAGATAATTATCTTAGTAGAGTGTTAACAGTATGTCCTTCTGTTTGTTGAATTTTGGAGATTGAAAGCAAATAATTTCTCTCTTGTATGTAGATCGAGTTGGAGGGTAAAGCGAGCTCTGACGAATCGTCAGATTCTAGTTCAGATGATGATCGCACCTGGGCTGAGGAGTTGCGACGTCAGCATCGCTTAGTAAGAACTGAGAACAGGCATCAGGCTCGAGCAGCTGAAGCAGAAGAGAAACTGGAGAAGGAGAAGGGATCAGATGGCGAAGCCCAACAGCCAAAGTTCTATGAACTTGGGGAAGGAGAAGTTATCAGAAATGGACGTATAAAAGTGCTGAAAAAGCAAATGAAGTAAGTCAACACAGCAAAATTTGCACAAAGGGAGATAATAGTAAATTCCATACCAAGTGCACAAAAAAGGTGAAAGATGTTTCGCGCATGCTTCAGTATTTTGCGGGTGTTTTGTAATGTTTTGCATGCTATGTTAGAATGAAAAAAAATTAGCTGTTAAAACATGGAAAACAAAACAAGAAACTAGGTTTCATGCACCTCAGCCATTTAAAAAGTTATTTTAGGTTTTCTTCTGCTTGAAACTTATCTCTATATTTCTTGTGGCCTATAATCATAATCAAATCTTGCTTTTTATAGTAATCAAAAAATTAATATTAGTAATGGTATTCTGGAAAAGTTTCTTCCCATTCCATTCTTGAAATTTTGTTTTATTTTGTGGTAATTTTTGTTTTTCAGAGCTCCTCTGGGTCAGAGGGTTGTGGAGGAAAGCCATTACAGTACCCAAACATCGATTTCTGGAGGAAGTAGGCAAATGACATTCAAGGTTCAGAAGGTAAATTTGTTTCTGATGATATTTCTGTTGGATTTTCCAATACGGTAATGCAGAGCTCAGTGATATGGTCACATTAAGCTTACATTGGACTCGGGTGTGGGTTTGAAATGCAAGGGATCGTGTTTAGTTTTTCAGAAGTATCCCTAAGTTGTAATAACTGTTCTGTCATGTCTCGTCATAAAATGTTTTTGTTAATGGCTCCCATAAATATATGGTAATCAATTAAAAATACACACAGGTTCATGTATCTGTTTTAAAACATGTTATACTAACCAGAAAAATATTAAAAAAGGGATTTTTTAAACAAACACAAATAGCATGTGTATTTCAATTATTTCTCATTCTGGACTACATATTCATTGGTCAATAAGATTATATCAAAAAGTGTTGAAGCCAATACAAGTGTGGGCGCCAACTACAAATGAGTGAACAAATGAACAATTCACATCATGATTAAGTAAATTGTCAAATCCTTCATGTGTTGCCAGCAGTAGCTATCACTTTCGTCCCATCTTAAGGTAACTTCTCTATAATATGAATTTGTATGTATTAAAAAGTGGCCACTTTCTGAAAAACCAGGAAAAATCAGGTATTTTGTGTAAGAACCTTTACAAGTCTTGGAAATTAGTATTAGGCAGTAATAGAACTGAAAATTATTCCTTAACTTCCTAATTGGACATGAGGAAGTAACATTGGACATGAGAATTTTCTTTATATATGTGGCTTGGCAACTTTGCAAGTCATCAGAGTTTGAAAACTTAGCTGCTTTGACCATCATTATGTAGGCTGTGATAAATTGTCATCACTTTAATATATTACTGTATAGGCAAGATTAGATCAAAATCAGTGTATTATATTATTCTATTGGACATGACAAAATGGTTTGCCTCATGTTATTGTTTCGGACAGAACAAGTATGTATGTTTGCTTACCAAATTAATTCCCTATTCTTGTGACTTGTAGGTTGGCCTTTAGAACAGCATTATATATGGTTAGTGTACTGCAAAATCAAAAAACTGACAAATAGGATTTGGGTGGTCATAAGTGTATAGAATACTAGAATATTTGTCCTTTTCATAATAAGTGCATCATGGAGAATAAGATTGTCAATTTCAATATTTGTATATTGATCCACCTCTTGCTTTTAATGAATATTTTCTTTAAATCCTGTCAAAAACCTCAAATTTTGTGAGGAAGAAATGTCTCAGGAAAATGAAAGAAAAATTAGGGAAACTTGTTTGCAGGAAAAGAAAGGCCAACTCTATTTGTCAAAAATTTAGATTGTATTTCTTTTAATGGATGTGATTGGAATCTTTGATATTGCAGGACAAGAAATCTTCCAAGTATGATGTCATGTCCAGAGAGCATTATGAAGAAAGGAAAAAATTAGTAAGATCTGCAAAAGGCATCCGGACCAACTCAAAACTGAATAACTGGATGAGGCGACAGAATAGATCCTAAACCACTTGCTTTCTTCTTTTTCTTATGTCAATTACCTCTCTCTCCTATTTTCTTTTCTCTTCTTTAATTGCATATGTAAAATTTGTAAGATTACATATGATAGTATGATTAACAATTTTTGTTGTGAAAGGCTAAAGAAAATATTGTAAAAAGTTCAATGAATATAATGCTGTAAATAATATGAAATGTTGTAAATAAATTGTAAATAATTTATTTTTATTAAAAGTGGAGGTGATTCAAATTAAATTTTTGATTGGTACTGAAATGTTCATTATCTTGTCACACGTTCATAGTTGTATGAAAAGTCTAAAGAGTTGCTTATTTGTTCAATAATTTAAGATTTGTTTGCACAATAGTGATGTTAACTTTCAATGCAGCAGTGATCATAGAAACATAAATGCTTAGGGTCTTAGGAGAAGCAATTGAATCAGAAATTTGAGGCAGTTTACATTTTGACAAATATATATTTATATTGTGAAAAATGATTCTATGAAAAATATTTCATAGACTTTGTACCAATCAGATAAAACTCATGTCCTTGATCATGTGGCATTTCTATTGTATTGGAGAGTTTCTCAGCAAAATGACATGGAAATATTTATTAGTCTAATAGAGGAATTGGGCTTCTTTTTTCCCCCATACAAACCGTATAATTATACAGATGTGTATGATGTATGCATACATCCATACATGCAAACACACTCACACAATTATGCTGTTTATTAACAAATCAACAGTTAATATCATAAATAAACAATATGAATATATTACTGTAAACAGTACAATATAATTTTATGTTGAGTGTTGGAAAAATGTCAATAAAGTTCATAATTGTGGGCAAAATAATTAGTGTAATTATACATTGGGTGTTTTCAGACAATGTGGTGGGAAGGGCTCAAATTCTCTCATTTAGCATGTAAAAGCCAGAAAGGGTTAAATGTTCCTGCTTCTTCCACTTCATTTTGGGCCTTTCTATAGTTTTTCTTCGAACCTAGAGAACCTGGAGAAAATCTTCTCCTCCTTTTGATATATTCCACTCAATTGACTTCTGTCAATGTAATGTATGTATTTAATACACGTAATATGGGGAAATGGAGCAAAATAATTCTTTGTTTATTGCAAAGTCAGCAGGCACAAGGGTCGGGTGTAAGTATGTACATTTTTGCATCGGGACGTTCTGGAGGCATTTAGCAATCCAATCACTGCATTTCAAAGTTATTCCAATTGCTAAAAAACGGAAGGTTGGGGAGCATCCAT